TGTTGCAGTTTGCACCCATTACCCCTTGTCCTGTCACTGGCCACCAGCGAGGAGAGTTTGGCCCCATCCTCCCTACATTCTCCAATCAGGTATTTGTATACATTGATAAGATCCCCCTTCTCGATCTTCTCTTCTCCAGGCTAAACAGACTCAGCACACTTAGTCTCTCCTCATATTCCAGATGTTCCAGTCCCTTAATCATCTTTGTCGCTCTCCGCTGGACCCTCTCTAGAAGCTCCACATCCCTCCTATCCTGGGGAGCCCAGAACTGCCCCCAGTACTCCAGGTGCGGCATCACCAGAGCTGAGCAGAGGGGCAGAATCACCTCCCTCCATCTGCTGGCAACATCCTCCTGATGCAGCCAGGATCCCATTGGCCTTCTTGGTCATGAGGGCACTACTGCTGCCTCATGGTTAACTTGGTGTCAACCAGGACTCCCAGGTCCCTCTCCATGGAGCTGCTCTCCAGCAGGTCAATTCCTAATCTGTACTGGTGCCTGGGGTTATTCCTCCCCAGGTGCAGGACCCTGCACTTGTCCTTATTGAACCTCATGAGGTTCCTCTCTGCCCAACTCTCCAGCCTGTCCAGGTCCCTCTGGATGGCAGCACAGCCCTCCGGAGTGTCGGCCACTCCACTCAGCTTGGTGTCATCTGCAAACTTGCTCAGGGACCCTCATTTTCACTTAATTTTTTTTGTTTTGTTTTTTTAATCTAAGATACATGATATGGGCAGATTCTAAAAAACAAAATACCTACATGTCATTTTCTATCCAGATTTTGAATGAGATGAAAAATGATCTAGTATGATCATTTTATGCTGCACCTGTTCCTTAAGGGTTATATGGCAGCTATTCACTTGAAATAAATAGCTCAACATAACTCCCAGAGACAGGATTTCAATCCCATAGATTTCCCATTTTTCCTAATCACCACAGGCGCTGACACAAATATCTAGAAAGCTGCCTTAAACGATGCAAGAGTCCCTCTTACACCAACTTTTTCATACATGCTACAGAAGTTTCAAATAAATTGCTAAAAAAATTATTTGAAACAGAGATCATTAAAGAATAAAAAATAAAGACTACAGCAAACAAAGATCACTAAAGTTGCTAATCTGAAAGAACAGGGAAGAAAGATTAAAGACTGAAAAAGCCATCTATGAATCTGGGGTTTAAATTGGACTTTTACAAAGGACTGTATCAAAAGCCTCTGTTAGGCTTCTGATAGACCTAGCAAGCAACTCGTGGTTGTTTTACTTGAAAATAATGATGCCAGGGAGTTGAACATCCCTGTAATCAAGAGCAATGGCTGTCCAAGAACACCAAGAAATGATTTTGCTGAACCTTGTCCCCTGTCCCTGCGTTTAGCACTGTCTCTTTGTACAGCACAAAAGCTTTCCAGATTTTTTAATTACAAAGAATATAACAATAATACTAGATGACACAGCCACTGTTAAAAAAAAAAAGTTTTGGTTGAGCTTAGGTTTCTGAAATTGCATGGAAAGATGAACTTTCCTTGAAATTTTCCAGCAGCTCTGCAGACCTTTCCCGGTTTTCACTGCCAGGCACAGACAGAGGCTCTGCCAGCAGCTTTCCTTTCCATTCATGGTTGATAATAGGTATTTTTTTGTAAGGCACGGCATTCTGGAAACACCTTGGCTAACACCACTGTAGATCTCTAAATGTAGATATCTACTACCCAATGCAGACATCGCTGGCTAATACCCACACTGTTCACTTGCACGCAAGTGCTCCACATAAGTCACGAAATCAGAAAGACCTCAGCACTCTGGTACCAGGCCTGCACCCTCAGGCACTGTGGAAGGGTAATTTATGGTATATAATGTATGAGGGCACTGCCTTTACCGTGCAAGGGCAGGGTTCCATGCAGTTCTACTGGTGCCGGCGCCTGCTCCCGCCGGAGCCCATGCTCCAGGAAAGCCTCCCCGCCAGCCAGGCTGCTCCAGCCTCTCTCCTCCTCCTTCCCTCCTCTCTTCCCAGCGGACGGAAAAGCAGCAGGAGACAAACCCACTGCTTAATGTGAGTTAAGCAGCAAAATAAGAGCCAGTATGTGGAGGTGCAGACTTTCCCCTGAGATGCAGCAGCACAGAACCACGGGATCGCTGGGAATCTCTGTGGTGGCACGAGCCCGAGGAGGGCAAGCTCAGAGAGAGGAGGCAGCGGGAGCCGAAATGCAGCTCTGAAAAATGATCTTGATTTATCTGCGTGGCAGCAGCTTTCTTCCCAACACTACAGAAGAAACATCTCGGGCAGCGTGGGCCCGCTTTGGCGCGTGCAGAACTTGGTCTCCTTGACAGGCCCTCGGCACCACAGCGCACTAGGACAGGCGACCGGTTCCCACCTCCCGGCGCAGGCTCCGGATTGCTGCTCTCCGGGGAGATCGACCCTTGTCTCTTCTCCCTGCTTTTATAAACACGTGTGCCCAGGTCACACTGCGTCAACATGTTCACAAGTCTGTAAGAAAATCTCATCCTGCAAACTCGCTGGTTAAATATCCTGTATTCTAACAGAGCAAGTTTGACAGCAGAAGACAAAATGTGCCAATATGTGACATTTCTAACCAGATGACTGAATCGGTGAGTAAACAAAGCACTACTGCAGACTTGATCTTCGCTCTCAAATCAACAGTGCTCAAAGTTTAAGAAGCGCAGCCTCTGCATGAGGCTGTAACAACCTCAACAACAACAAAATGTAACAACCAGTTTCATAAAATTAGCACGAAGACATTTGTAACCAGGGAACGTTGTCTCTTCATTGATGTCTTTACAACATCAATGTGTTTAAATGCACTTGAATAATTTCCCAATGTGAGCAGAACAGCTGAATAATACTGTATGTTTCTAATTGCTCTATGTACGAAGCTGACCACTTTTTTAGGCACAAGAGCCCAGTGCTTCCAGACCATGGCCGTGGCTTCGGGCACCGTCTCGCTGCGGGCCGGGCCAGGGCGGGCTGCAGCCGGTGCTCGCGGAGCCGGCGCACGACGCTGCTGCCCTGCCACGTGGAGCCCGGAGCTCAGCCTGCTCCTGCTCCTCTTACAGGGCAGAGGGGCTGGGAGAGACACAACAACGAGGTGACGGCGGGTCTGACAGAGTCTGACCTCTGGAATCGCCAGCCAGACTGACAGGTTTCTTCCACTACTTCCATATTCACCCCCTGATCGTGCTGCATGCTTTTTATTACTGCTCTTCATTGAGGAAATGAAAATTGCGTGAGTTACAGAATCTGCACTAGGCAATCTCTGCAATTTTAGGGCCCCAAGGGGCACTAAAATCTCTGCGCAACAAACCTCAAGACCTAACTCTTCCCTGCCAGAATCCACTGCCTCTTAGTAGCTCCACCAGAGCTGTATTTCCACCGTTGTGACAACCTGCACCTGAACAGAAAGTTCCCATTTTCAGAAATGGGCTGAAGTTCAACAACAGCAGGATGGATTTGCTGTCAACAGGCAGCAAAATATAAGAATATTACAGTTGCAAAATTAATCAACACCACAAGTTAAAAGTGTCAACACATTTAGTTCACTCTTCTTGGACATAATCCTACAATTTGCCCATCACACCAGTTTTTCCAACAGATTCCTACCTCAGTACTGAGAATAGATGCAGAACACACACCGGATCCAACCAAGAGCATACTCCATTATCCATTCCTAGACTCTCTGCAGCATTTGGCATATTAATTAATGCATGTCTCCATCCCAGAAACATGGCCGGGTTCAGTGCACTGCGCTCCAACTGCCTTCCGAGTCCTTCCTGGAAGGACACTCCAAAACACAGCAATGTGGGAGCTGTACTGGGACGGGGGCTGCTTAGTCCCTCATTTCTCACCTCCCAAAAGGACTGGTTCTCCCTCCAGTTCTTCACATGAACTGGTTTACTTTAATGCAAAAATAACACTTTCAAAAATTCTACTCAGAAAACAAACACATGTAAAAAATAAAGTTATTAATAGATTTATATGCATATATAAAATGTGATGTTGAGCTATATATGTAGAACAGTGCACAATTTCTATCACATTCATTTTTATATTAGAACATTAAAACCTTCTCTCTCTTTTTCTAATAAAAACTACATCATAAGCTGAAACTATCTCACATTTTTATCAGTGACTTCCTCTAGGTGACCCTGCGTGAGCAGGGGGGTTGGACTCGATGACCTCTGAGGTCCCTTCCAACCTTGGGCATTCTGTGATTCTGTGATTAACAGCAGTCAATAACCACCACACTAGCAGATGCCAGGACAGGATCAGTCTCCAGTGAGAGAGCACCCCACGCTCTTCATTCACCTTTCTAACAGTTGCACCTTCTGCAATTGCAGGTTTTTATGAAAGATATTGTTTAAATGCTACCTAAATTCCTAGTGATACAAAACTTCCAACTTTTCACTTCTAATTTGCAGCAGCCTAAAAGATTAACCAAACATTTCATCATTATGCATTTATGCATAAATAACTTCCCATACGTGGTCTTCCCACACTTATATAACGAGTGCAGGAAAATTAACCCTCAGTGCAGTTTATCAAGAATAAACCAGAGAAAAGTTCTGACTTGCCTGAGCTCAAACCAACCTATGAACATTTAATGCTGGAAAACGGTTTAAAGGCTGCCTGCCTCCCCACAGAAACCCCAAACCTTGAATTTTAAAGATTTTTGTCTCCTCAGGGCATGTGTTTGTGCACACGCATGCGGGGGAGGAAGGGTTAAGTTACTGCACAATTATTCATCTTCAATAAAGTTAGCCTAGAAATTGTTTTATCAGCCATTTACCAAAGGAGAAATTCTGTTTCTAAGTGTAGCGAGCAGGCTGAACAGTCTAAGTTTAGGGTGAGGCCTCTCTCTGTTAAATAACAGCACAGGAAAAGTTTTAAATATCAGTTGGAAAACTAAACACTTTGCTTAACAGAAGGTTCCTTTTGCATGCATATAAATTAAGAAAAACACCTTTCCGAAGCAGATGGCCATTTCACTTGCTCTTTACTACAGTTTTAGTTGTTAAGTAGGAGAAGACAGAAAAAACACAATGTATTCTTATCAAATTCATCTTTTCTAAGCACAAAAAAAGCCCTTACTATAACACTGTATTTAAAGACGAAATAAAAACATCATTTCTCAGAACAAGGAGCACGGAGGTACTCCAAGATATAAAGCTACTTGCCAAGGAAAAGATCTATACGAGTGCTTTTAATAACCCTTTAGAATCAGGTTTTGCACGAGGTGTCCCCTCTCCCTCCGTGTGCCTAAACACCTTGTTAAAAGGAGAAACCTTTGCCTGAAAGGATCGTTCAGGATCATTTGTTAAGAGCTGCATTAGCCAGCGCCGCATCGTGCACTGCAGCGGGCACTGGGTTTCCCAGTGCCACTGACTGCAGCACCCATCAAAATTTTGACCAAATTTGCAGCTATTTGAGGAAGGTACAGGCAAAGCAGTAAGTGAAAGAAATAAAAATGGCAAATTTTCCTAGGTATTCAAGTAGTTTTTGATAAATTAAACCAGTTACGTAGTTGGTCAGGTGGCTATTCTTTAATTTTGTCCTTTTTCTTCCTCCTTACCTGGAGCCTGTCCAACAAAATCATCCAGATTAACTAGTTTTCCTATAACATGCACTTACCAGGGCTGGGTTCTCATTAGCTTCCACGCCAAAAACGTTCTGCCGTTTCACCGTCAGCAAGTCAAGGTCTCTGGCATCATCGTCATCATCGTCATCTTCAAGGAACCGCACGGAGCCCACACTTGCAACCTTGCTCAACACAGCAGCCTCCTCCTCCTCTCCTGCCTCCGAAACCCCTTTGGAATCCTCGTCAGGCTCACTGTCACCGGGACCCTCGCTGGAAGAAGGATATTCTCCGGTGTCTTCCCTTGCGTCCTCCTCAGCTGTTTTGTCAACAGACGCCTTCCCACTGAAAGGAGTCCTGGATTCCTCTGCTCCTTCCCTGCTTCCCGAGGAGCTGGTGTTTTTATTCTGCTTTGCCTCCGTCAAGGGATGTGTCCCCTCAGTGCTCTCCAGGCGCTGCTTCTGGGCCTTCTGCAGAAACCTCACGCGGGGCGGCACGGCGAGGCCCAGCGAGCTGCGGGAGGGAAGGGAACAACTGCTCGGAAGGGCTGGCTGACACAAACCAAAGTTGCACTGAACTAGAAGCCCCCATCAATGGCTCCAGTGCTTTCAATGCAACTACAGTAATTTATATTTATGCATTTTAACCAAGGTATTTATCAAACGGATTTTTTGACGTGTAATAGGACATTCTACCTTGAAAATGCAAGAGAACATGAAAGGGAGAAAGAAAGATGAAATAAGGGGGGGAATAAAACACTCAGAAGGATAAGAGTGATTAGGAAAGGTACTAGGAGAAGACAGCAAACAAACAACCTATAAAGCTAAAAGCAGTAGCATATTAAATATTGTTTATAATGCGATATGGCAGAAGAAACACCAGTACAGCTTTGTATGGAAAATATATGTGTCATGTCAGGGACTGAGGTACCGATTGCCCCTCACTATCCAAATAAAATCGATATGAAGGAATGACTAAATGTGGGAATTTGAGAGCTGTTTGTCCCCCCTGTGTCCCTGGAGGGGAGCCTCAGCTGGCTGCACCCCTTCCGGGGGGCTTCGCCCCTGCCCTGAGAGGCTTTGATCTCCGTGGCACCAACACAGCCAAGAGCAGGACTTTTTCACTCAGTTATTCAGGACAATTCAAAGTCTATTCACACCCCAAAAAGGACTAAAAATTATCCCAAAACAAATTTATGCAAATATTATATGGGAATAATACCAGAGAGCACTGCATGGAAACTGGTCTCCAACTAACAGCAACTAACAGATCATTTAGAAGTAGCTGACTTTAGTGGGCAGTTACTAAAATTATGGATGTAATTTGTGACACTTGCCACCATGAATTCAAGAGCAATAGTAAAGTCTCTCTCTGATTTAATGTGCCTCTCTGTTAATGGAATAAAATACCAGGGAAGACTTTGGTACTCTATTACAGACACAGGCCAGAGCTGCTTTTAAAAACACACAATAGACACCCTGGGCGTAATGAGTAATATTCATGTTTAGCAAATGGGCAAAATACTTAACTAATTCAAATGTCCACACTAGACACGTAACAGGAGGACAGTATTGGTACAAATGGACATTTATAAATACACACATATATATATATATGTGTGTGTGTGTATACACAGATGTGTATGTACACACACCAACATATATGGAAAGATCAGCCTGTTTCAGTGCAGACTGTTGGGCAGTTACCCCCACCTCCAGTGCTTCGAGCGCACCACGTTCTGTCTTCCAGCTCCTACACAGCTCTCCGAACAGAGAAACCCAAGTTGCACCACAGGAAAAGAATCAACTCATAAAGGCTCGGGCATGAATGTCATCAAAAACAGACCCTGAAGCAGTCAAAAATTTATTGCAGAGCAGCAAGAGGGGCCTGGAGGTCCTGGAGTGCCTGAATTGCTGGCAGCAGCCAAGGGGACAGAGCAGTCACCAGGAGGAGCATCATGCTCAAAAGCAAAAAATGCCCCCCCCCAAAATGACCTGATAGTGTCTCTCTTCAAGCAACTAACAGCAACGGTTCAGTGGGGCACTTGAAAGCAAATAGATTTTTTTCTTAAACTGTTCACAGTTAAGTTTTCAGTACATTTTGTGCACCTAGTGCCTGTGCACTGCTGAGAGGATTTGTACTCAACACATTTGGGGACTGAAAAGGGAACAACAAGCAATCTTAAATTGTGACAGCATTTGACAACTAACACTAATTACCTTTGCAACGAAATTACACGTTAAAGTTCGGCCTATTGACTAACTGAAACAAAAATAGCAAACAAAGGAGGTTTAACAGTTCACTGCAGCAGATGGAGGAGACTCAAATCAGGAATTGAGCCTCAATGCAGGCACAGTAAAATATCCATAAAGAGATCACTGCAAGCTCAGTGAACTTGCAGCCTCCCTCTTCTGAAAGGGAGGGGAATTAGGAAAAAAATATTATTTGCAAGAGGCAAGCAGATATCTTTTCTCTTTTCCAGGTTTTGTAACATTTTTTGCAACATAATTAGAGTTTTTAACGGTTGACAAAGTACTACAGATGACAGTTGTACAGCACCTACGGAACCTCTTATACACACATACCTCTCATAGATATATACCTCTATATACCTCACCTCTCATACATACACACACATGTATATGCATGTGCATCAGGCTGGCCTTTCATTGCAAGCTCCCCACTTGGTCAGCACTTCATCTGCACTCCTGCAAAGCGAGCACCAAACTGCACCATTTCTGCTACAAAAAGGCACCAAAACTCTTTGGTCTCTTCAAAGAGAAGCTAGAACAAACCAGCCAGGAAGAACAGCCCAGAAGAAAGGGAACTTCAATACACCTCTGCTCATTCAAATACAATTTTTTTTTTTTTTTTTTTTTTTTTTTAAGATTCAGTTTTTAAGGAACTACACGACACTAAGCTTAAATAACAGCTATGGACAAACAATCCTACAAACACTTATTATACAACTTCAGAAAAATATCAGTATTTTGACTCATTAGTCCTTTTGTAAAGTATATGCCAAATTGAGAATCGTTTTGGAGAAATCTTTTTGAGAAACTACTGCTAAAAGTTGCTTCTCCTGGTAAGATTCTGACAGTTTCTTTAAAATTCATTCTTTTAGTCATTTGTCAAATCTAGAATTCAGTCATATATAAAAAATGAATTTATAAACCAGCTTTTCTTCCCTTCAGCTCTAATGGGCAAAAGTCAGTTTTCATTTATTCATTAGCTGCCACTCAGACTACAATCCTCCTCAAACTGAAGTTACAGCCATTCTTCTCCTGACTTTTGATTCTAGCATTCACAAACCCTTATAGAATAAGCAATACGAAAGATCACCACACAAAAATAAGAAAAGCATACAAATTACCTAGTGGAATTTGTTAAATTCCAACACACAACACTAAACATACCCACACAAAATGTATAATGCAGGCCTCCGACTGTGACAGCCTGAAAGCTGCAACACAAACTCAGCTGACCAACAATCCTCTTTCAAATTTGGGTGGAATGGGATAGCTTTTTATGCAGCAAACACCTTTAAAAAGATGTTTAAATCAACTTCAAAAAGCAAAGCTAAACTAAGTATTTCCTGCTATAAACAAAGTATGCTTGACACTCACAGTTCTCTTCACCTACAGTAACTGAAATGGCCAGACATCACCTGTAAAGTAATATGGAGCAGGGCATATGTAAAAGCAACCAAGTAAGGCACGGTGCTTTTTAGAAAATAATTTAAGACTAAAACAGAAGGTCTGCAGAAAGGATATTACAGGGTTTTAAGTAGAAGACCAATTCTGTTTGCTATTGAAATAGGAAAGAAAACAAACCAACAAAAAACAGTAACCTTTAAAGAACTAATTCAAATGAATGGTGCCTTCAGACTTAAAATGCAGCCAAAGATCTGAGGAAGTTTGCATTAACGTAGTTTTGATATTCCACTATTCAGATTGTTTCAAAAGCTGTGCATAGTTCTCAACTCCTTAAAAAGATGAGAGTTTTAGATTACTTATAAAAAATACATATCTGTATATATATATAGCACAGGGATTTTCTTTACTACAGAACAGGCTGTGATTTGAAACACACCCAGAGAATTAAATACTACCACAGTCCATTTCAAGAGAAAAAAAAAGGTTCATCATTTGCCTTGCAGTATATTACATCCACACTCAAAAGGTTTTTGGAAGACAAAATGTGCAAATATTTGAAAGCAGGAGAAAGCAAATCAGCTGAAGTGACCTAAGCCTGAATGAAGCAGCCATCCCAGGTGGCTCTGCTGAATGCACAAAGCGAACAGAGAGGCGGCTTCTGCTGCGTCCCTATCCGACCAGCCAACCTTGGGTGGGATCCTGCTCATGATGAGCAACTGCCAGCAGGGCACCGCGCTTTCCAAAGGCCGCATTAACAACCACAAGGAGATGATCTGCTGTATGTCTGTGTTTCAAGAAAGAAAGTTTTACATTAAAATGACTCTTAATCCTCCAGAACAAGAGGAAAACTCTGACCCAAGGAGCCTGAGGCAAGGAGAGGGAAGCAGGGGGCAGTGAAAAGAATCATAGAATTACTATGGTTGGAAAAGCCCTTCTACATCACCGAGGACAACCACAAGCCCCTCAATACGATGCCTGTTAAACCACGTCCCCAAGCGCCCGCCTACACACTTCTTGAACACTGCCACGCACGATGACTCCCTGGACGGCCCGTTCCAATGCTTCTCCACTCCTTACGTGTCGAAATTCTTCCTTATATCTAAGCTGAACTTCCCTTGGTGTAACTTGCCCAGCCTAGAGCGACAAAGATGATTAAGGGACTGGAGCACCTATCTTATGAGGAAAGACTAAGCAACCTGGGCCTGTTTAGCCTGGAGAAGAGAATATGTTTAAGAACCTGAGGGGAGAATGTAGGGAGGAAGGAGCCAAATTCTCCTCGGTGGTGGCCAGGGACAGGACAAGGGGCAATGGGTGCAAACTGCAACACAGGCAGTTCCATCTCCATGTGAGGAAGGACTCCTTTCCTGTGAGGGTGACAGAGCCCTGGCACAGGCTGCCCAGGAAGGCTGTGGAGTCTCCTTCTCTGGAGATCTTCCAAACCCGCCTGGCTGCCACCCTGTGCCCCGTGCTCTGGGTGTCCCTGCTGGAGCAGGCGGTTGCACTGGGTGATCTCTAGGGGTCCCTTCCAACCTCAACCCTCCTGTGATTCCCTCCTGTCCTTTCCATAGTTATTCTGGAGAAGAGACCAACCCAGCCTCACTACAACCTCCTTTTGGGTAGTTACAGAGCCTGGAGCCTCCTCTTCTCCAGACTGAACCACCCCAGCCCCTTCAGCCGCCCCTCACGAGGGCCGTGCAAGGGGCAGGAGTGGCCGCGCGGGCGCGCACGTCCCGCCAGGCCCGGGGCTGCTCTGGGGGGGCCCGGGGAGCCCCGCGCTGCTGAGGCAGCGACAGGGCAGGGCAGGGGCGGCCCCTGCGCCCACAGGCCGGGCCCGGCGCCGCCGGTGCCTCCGGGCAGCACAGGGGCGGGCGCACACGGACACGATGGACACACGGGGCAGGCACACACGGACACACGGGGCGGGTGTCCCCGCTCCAGGGCCCAGCCCAGCCCCAAGGGCACTGCAGCCCCGCAGGCAACACGGCTAAGGCAGTGAGCTGCATTTCTTGCTCTGCCTCTCCCCCGTTTCCCAGGTCATTTGATCTCTACCTGCTTTCCTTTATCCGCTCTGTACCAACACACAGCCAAACACAGGAACACGCTGCCTCCTCCTCTGCTCTTCCTGGAGGGCAGCACAGAAAATTACTTTGCTCATCAGCCCCTTAGGGCAACTGCCTGCTCAAATACACCCCCAGGGACTGAGAGATATGTCAGCATTTCACAGAATAAAATGCATGGGGAGTATGATATTTAGATTCCCTTCATCTTCTGTGCAGGAAAAGAGAGCAACTAATTACTCCTTTCCCTCCTTCCATCTGTTTACATTGAGTTGCAAGGGTGTCCTTTGCAATTAAAAGACAAATTCATTTTCTATCCCAAAACTGAAGCTCTCCTGAAAATACGTAAAGGTTGGCTCTGCAAAGACCAGCACAAGGCTTGCACAAAGCTCCTCCAGCCAACCAGCCGTGCATGCAATTTGCTATGAGGGAATACAGACAGAATACTAACGTATGGAAGCTTGAAGGTGATGAATCTCCACAATATATATCTTTATTTAAGAAAAGGACCACTCCTTTTCAGCAGGGACTCCAAAAGCAGGGCTGAACAGACTCTCCATGCAGACACACGATGCAAGGCAGCAGTACCAACAGCAGCAACGGCCCCGTGCACCAAAATGCAAACCTGACAGGGGAGCAAAGCAGCCAGTTTTCTCTGCAGAACCTCTGGAGATGCAACACGCATCGAGCAAGCAGCAAATCCCCGTGGAAGGGCTCAGTACTTCGAGGAGAATACATGAGGAAGGTCCAAGGAAGACAGGATCCTTATTCTGGGTTTACCCTGAGCTTGTGAATGCCCCATATCACAGAGCTGCTTTTTGAAAGCAGAATTCAGATATAAGATAACAGATTACTGGGCACCGCACATTTCAGACTCCTTAAGCTGCCTGATCCAGTATCTGCCTACGGCATGTACATTGAATTGAAAGCCAGGGGATGGTATAGGGGTTTTAGGTAGATTAACAGTCTAGAGAGCGGGGAAAAGGGAGTGTCAGTGGAAAGAGTTCACAGCCTCAGAGCAGAACTTCCAAATTGTCTCCCAGATTTAGTATCTTCTGACTTTTTGATTAAACTTCCATATATCTCACAGCCCTAAATGTCTACTCTACATAAAAACTTCATCTAATTTCTCCCATTTTATTACAGAAGTGACTTATTAGTAACTTAGCTGAGTTGAGATTCAAATCCTCTTTCATGAAGGACCAAATCCTGGCACGGATGTCAGAATGACTGATCTAGAATGACTCGGCCTACGTAAATATCAAATACTAGACAACACATCATGTTGAAATCCAGAGACAGTAGAATGCCTTAAATGAAGTACTACCACCACCTACTAGACGACTTGTTAATACACTGGTGAAATTGGTGAGCACATCCCACTAAGTCTAAGCACCTGACTAAATCTTCATCTTCTTGAAAATCCTGCCACTATCCCTTTTCCTCAGCACAGGAAATGCTTTTTTAAGGGTTTTGCAAGTTCTGTCTTTAAAAAAAACTTTGGTTCATAAGGTGAGAAGGCATCTTAAAAGGTTCAGATAGTTCAGAAAATGATCAAGTTAATTACTGCACAGCACATGGCCCAGGTGCTCTACATTTGGGTAATTTGTCACAATTTAGTTCAATGTGCCACACACTGACAAGCTTGACGGTTCAAGTCCCATCTGTATGAAACTCCAGAGACACAGAATTAATTTATCATACATCTTGGAGCACCTTCCTGCTCCCTTCCAAATACCTTATCCCCCATGAGGTTACTCTAAAATGTAGAGTTTTAAAATGGTCTCAGATGGTCAACATTGTTCAAATGAACCTGCCAGAGTCAACTGGCAAAATATACATATACAGCATTCCATCCACTGCATAAATGTTTAGTCTTCCCCAAAGATAGGTGGTAGCTTTTGGTTGTTTGGTTTGTTTTTCTGGCCTTTTTGTTGATTTTTTTGGTTTGTTTGATTTTTTGTTTAGGGTTTTTTTGGGTTTTGGTTTTTTTTGCATGGGATTTATGTTTAAAGAACAACATCCAAGTCACATGTGAAGCGAGATCACAATATATCATCTTTACATATTCAAATTTCTCTTTTAAGCCATATACCAAATACATCCACATTTAGCTAAGAGTCTGAAGAAAAAAATATATTCTGTATTCTTATTTCATAATTTCCATCTTTTGCATTGTACACTACTGTTGCTTTTACTTTAAGTTCTTCCTCTTTGTAGAGATGCAGTGGGTTTTTGTTTGTTTCACAGAATTTCTATTTAGAATATGTCTTTGAAAATAAGCAAAAGCACACCATAGGAATGAAACTGAAACACAAGAGAATGTCAGATTGTGTGGGTTAGCACAGGTACAAGCATTAAGTACTTAAAGCTATTGTGCATGACAACACTTTCCATTATAAATGTCTCACTTTAAATACTGTGTTTTCCAATGGTCATACTTACAGGGCATATTCTGCTAGAGGCAATCTGAAAACATCAAATACTTCCTTATTCTTCATTAAGTAAACTGAGCGCAGGTAGGATACAAAACACTGCAAGGAAAAAGATTTCTTGTAAAATACTTCTGTTTAACTGATCAACATATAAAACAAACTGCAGTTCTGTAACTGATCGAGTACTGAGCTCACACTGGAATTCTTTACCCAATACTACAATTCTTCTACCCAATACCCAAGATTAGCCAAAATGTATCACTACTATGAAAGTGACTGAACTTCAAATAGTCTCATATTTCATTAGAAGTACACTAATTGGATAAATTTGCAGTGCTATGTCATTTTATTTTCCCCCCAAAAAAGAAAAAAAAACAATAAAAGGGGAAAAAAAACACCATAAGTGATTTTTTTGGGGGGTAGGGGGGATACAGCTTTTTATAACGTTGGTTCAGAACTACATGTAAATAAGCAAGACTGTTGCTGTTATCCAAGACAGCTTGACTTAATCTTAACGAACATTTGACAAAGTAGATTCTACTTAACTCTGCTTTCACTCCCTGTAGCCTTGAATAATTCACCTAACTTTGCACCTGCCATGAGCTAATTGCAAAAATGCAGCCAGTGAATTCGGCTGAGCTGACCAACATCCACTCCCTGTGCAACATTAACTAGTGTGAGTCCGTGCCGGATGTTCCCACTAATCTCAGACTTCCACGAGGAAAACTTCAAGTACTGCATAACAGGACAACTTGATCTTGTCTCATGCTTTCCTCCATCCTTACCACAGGGAATGAATCTCACTCTTCCTTTCTTATAGAGCTTCTCCTCTTTATATTTTTATGTAGTATATCACGGTCATCAATGCAATTCTCAAAATGAAAATACCTCTACTGTCACTTATACATACTACTAGACATATCCCCTTACAGTTTATTCCCATTCCAACTGCAGTAAGCAAACGAAATCCATACAGAACCGCTTCATAAAACTTCAGAGCTTCCTCTTGCTGCCAAAGCCGAGAGGTTGCAGTAAGTTACAGTTAGTAGTCAGTGAGGCACAGAGTTTATTGCAATGCAGCACCCTGTGATGGGTGTTTTGGGGCAGCGCTTGGAAAGAAGTCGTTTGGGGAACCCACTGCTTCCCCAATCCTTAGCAGAACTCCGAGATGGCCTCCTGCAGTCCCACATTCCATGTTAATTCCTGTTTTTTCTGCACTAACTCTCGCTTCCTCACGTGCACCGTGCAAGGCGCCGAGCGCGCTGGACATTAGTGGGAATGTCGGCGCTGCTCCCATCCGCCTGGAAATGCTGCCCGCCACTTAAGGGAACTTAAGTGACTTAAGGGACTTTCCCTTAAGGGAAAAATAACTTAAGGATTTAATGAGAGCAAAACAATTTTCAGTTCTCCCACAACTGAGGTCCCAACATTCCCCAAGCCATCTTTTGGCAACTCGGTGTTTTGATCTACTAGATACAGCCCAGAAACCTGTGGGTTGGGAGTTATTTTCAATATTTGTTTCTGCATTAATTACATACTCTCCGTTTACAGTAAAGTTACCCTGGAAGAGTCTGGATTAATGAGAAACAAATACAAAAACCAAAAGACAGCAAAGTTATTTTTCTTTTCCTCTCCATTTAAAATGGTCTGTCATAAAATCTGCAGACGTTGAAGCACATCCAGTTGCTTTTAAGTTGAAATAAGAACTCATAGTTTTTAAATGAGTGAAGTAACAGCTAATTCTTTTGAAGTTGCTCAATAATCTCTGTTACTGAAGTAAATTTTCTTGTGCTTGCTCACCTCAAAAGGTCACCTCTTGGAAAAGTGAAGTTTCTTGTCCTAATTATTTGTTTCAATTAATTTTAGGGGTGGACAACTCCAAGAAAACCCAGTTCAGGTACTACAGAGAATGGAGTGTGGGATAAAACATTCATGTGATCACATTAGATGACTCACCTCCTTAAAAAGGCATAAACTTCTAGGGGATTTGCACATTTGGGCTCCGAAGTGATGGGTCAAAATACTTAAATCTTATGTCATCAGTGCAGGAAATATATCCTAGCCAGACTCTTGTACCTATCTGTGCTGTGACTTGGCTGGCTGCTCCATCCTGGAACACCAGGAGGAAATTTATTTCTTATAAATGTTAAGATGTTTCCAGCATGAACGAGGCAGCATAGGCAGCATAACACACGTCTTTGACAAATCCAACATTCCTAATGGGGTTCCCAGGTCAAGATTTCAGCTGCAATACTGCTGCTGTTTTGTTCAGATTGGAAGAGTTTCAGTACGGAAGACTGCAGGGGGCATTTACATAGTAAATATACTATTAGGGGGGAGCATCTGCTGCAATGACCCACTTGTCCACATTTTAAGAGTTTCAAAACCTCAATCTATTTACAATTTTTCTGCAAGACCTCACAGCACTGCCCTGAACGTATGAAAAATGACAATAAAAATGGCTTACAGGGGTAATAAAGATTGGATTTTCAAAATGAATTCAACATTTTATCTGTCACCTTGATAGAAGACTCTTGTTTGATTCCATCCTGCTGCTACTTTGAAGCTTTGCCAGTATTTTATTTGGTTCAATTTAGACTGATCTTTCCCTCTGTAAGAGATCCTAAAGAGTCAAAGTCAGGACCCAACCTCTTCCCTCTGTTTCTGTTGCCATTCCGAGGAAGATGCTGTTGGCTTCCTCCTACTGTCCTCGTCCCCCCGGCAGCTGCCCTGTCGCTTCTGATACCACGTGGGGAGCTGCAGCTTCCCGGGGTGGCTGCGGTGCCCCCGCTCTGCCCGGCCCGCCCCAGGCCGCACGCGACGAAGCCCGCGCTGCTACTGCTCGTGCTGCAAGCACTGGTTTGTGCACTGCAACACGGCAGGCTCTGAGGGCAAAAACACTTCCTCAAACAGACTCCTGACTATTCCTTAGGGATTTTGTTCACAAAGCTCTCAGCAACTTCCCTAGGCATTCTGTCTGATTTAAGAACACTTTTTCAGTACCGTACTGCTCTGGCCCAGCAAATGTCTACAGGAATCCAAGGATATTTAAGGTTGGAAGGGACCTCTACAGATCATCTAGTCCAACCTTCCTGCTCAAGCAGGCACACCTACAGCATGTGGCACAGGGTGGCATCCAGGTGGGTTTGGAAGACCTCCAGAGAAGGAGACTCCACAACCTCCCTGGGTAAAACCTTCATTTACCCCCTGGGTAAGGGGAGGTCCTGTCAGTTCCCTCTACAGTCAATGGAAGGAAGGATGTTCTACAGGACTTAGTATCCACAACATTAATCTACCCAGATGAGTTTATAAATTATTTACTGCAGTGGGCATTTGGGGACTTTTTGTTTGCTTGTATGTTTTTTTAAGTATGTTCATGATCCGCTTCTCATGATACCCTACCCAGCAGGCACAGCAGAATAGCTTACACTAAGCCAAATTTCAGCACTCTTCTCCTTGAAAAGTTCTCATCTTTATCAGGCTTCTGCACTTCCCAATGTCTCATCATTTGGCTTCTGAGAACACTCCTCAAAATTCATCTCTATCTCTAAAAGATCTGAAAGATTTTAGGACTTTTTCCTCTTATCTTGTTTCCCTGCACCTTAACTTCAACTCCTAAAAGACTGCAGAACCAGCAGGCTCGTGGTATCTGCAGCGCTTCAAGAACGGGCCACATCCAGCATGAGATTTAAGCACGAAGAGCTTAATGCAAATACACAACACAAAGACCACAGAAGGCTTTGCTGGACACGTTCTAGGGCAAGCATGGAAGGTTTCTGTCAGCCCACTTCATCAGCCTGCTGAGGTCCCTCCAACCTCAATTCAAACAGTTGGAAAAGACTCAAAAAAAAACCATAAAAACAAGCTTTTATGAAGCAGTAACTACTTGCATGCCCAAGGCTCTAAAATGAAGTATTTTCCCACCTCTGTCTTAGTAACTGCCACAACAGCAGGACTTCAGGTGGCTCTTCAGGTACTAGGGGCATGAGCCTAGGCTCAGACCTAGCTCACACAGACCTCACAGACACACTTACCATCAAGTGCAAAGACATGATAATTGTTTCCACTATTGCAAGGTTTTAAAGATTAAAAACAGAACAAATTAGCAATTCCAAGCACTACTGGGAGGACACATATCAGTTATTGCAAGAGCAGTTCTCTTCAACCAGCGTGGCTCAAGAGCCCAGCACAGGTAACTTACCCTTTGAGCCTTCTCTTTTAACTCCTGATCTTGAGCCAAAAAGGCCTGCAGCCTTTTTTGGATGTCTGTAAGCTTTTCAGGGTTGATTCTAACAAACCAAAACAAAAAGAAAAAAAAATATTAGAACATACACAAATAATTATTAGAACATACACAAACAAGCTCCTGTTAAATCCTCCTCGAGTTATCTTCATTTCCTCTACATTGGTTTACTACACATAAAACGCTCACTTCTCTGAACAAGGTTAGACTGGAACCATATTCACAACAAAAGACACACCTGAACAGAGTAACATAGAGGTGGCCAACAGAAGCTCAGACTTTTCATCCAGGGCACGCTTGCAAGGAGGTGAAACTATTTCCAAGACAAAGTCATTAAAAAAAAGCCGAAAAATTAAAATACTTCCTGAATTCATAAAGATGCTGGGAAAGAAACAAAAACACATAATGAATTACACAGCACTCTACACTGGCGTAGCAGCCTTCATAAGGAAATTTCTCATCATTTTTCAAAGCTTAACTAAGATTCATTGCCTGCAAGTACCTAAATTAAAATACTTCTGCTATATTCAGGTGAGCAAAAGTAAATTATATTGAGATTTATATGAGCAGACATATGTATGATTTATATGTGAGCATATATATGATAAAGCATATATATCATAATATATACGAACAGATTTATATATACGAGCAGATTTAAGGTCTCCTCAAGGTACTGACCCAGTGAAGAAGCATCTGTTGTTGCATTACTGAAAATGTTTTTCCTTTAATTTACAAAAGCATCGAGCTTTACCCCTTAGAATTTCCTCACTACTCAGATTTCCCCTCTCTGTCAGATGCAGGTAGAAAGCTACAGCAGAGACAAGAGCATTTTGCTACTGTGCAGTCAAAGACCAAATGCCCGAGTTTCAGTTTCAAGCAAATAGATCATTTGTTCTGAATACATAAGGATATAAACACCAAATATACTACCTCACTGCCAAAGAAATATAGACAGAGCAAAAAGTGCAGCAAGGTGAAATCAACAGGTGAAATCCCTTAAAATCCAAGAAAAAACCTCCATGTAGAACTGAGGGCAAGTATAAAATAAACCATGAATATCTAGGAATAAAATAAGAAATATATGCAAAAAATGTCATATAAAGAGCAAAAAAGGGACAACACAAATAACAAAGAGCAACCAACTCTGGTAGCAAGACAGCCCACAAAATGGTTAGAGACTGCTGTTATGTGAAACGTATTACGATGGCATCAAGACCCGTTAACTTTTCAGTGTCTTTTTCCCCTCATCTTCACTGAAAGTGGGAGCAGCAACCAGAGAGCAGACAGCAGCAGCACCACAGCCTCAGCTCACACCACAGTAGGACATCACAGGGAAACAGCTACTTAGATAAAAAGACGGGTCAAAAGAAATTTGCTCCCTCGCAATTACTAAATCCATCAGAACTTCTGAGATACAGCTGTATTTATTTTGAGAATCCATCTGAGGCAGATGAAATTCTGTGAGATAAAACAGGTAAACACAGTACTCTTCTTCAAAGGGCAGAAAAAGTTTGGTTTAGTTTTCTTAATTTAATACTGAAAAAAGCACTAAGTACCTAAAGGGAATAAAAAAGCAGATATGTAACAGCCAACATAGTTCAGTCAGAAGCAGAGCACAACTAATCAATTTAATTACTCTTCATAACAGGATAAAAAGCTTCACGAACAGGAAAGAAACAGCAGGTACCATAACTTGATGTCAACACAACATCTGGCAGTCTCACATCCTCATAAATACGCAGGGGAAACATGGTCTACATGAGATCTCTAAGTAAATGCAAAGCTGGTCTTAGAGCTGTGCTCAGCTGTAGTCACGACTGACTCGCTGCCAAGCAAAGCCCACACCAGCTCCCAGGCCTCACCTGGGCCCACTGGTACTCCTGTTTTCTAAAATTACTTGAATACTGTAGAAATGTGATTAAATATTTAAAGGACATAATATGCCAGTGGAGCTCCAAGCACAACATAAAATAAACTTAAGACAGGAGGCAACGTTTTGTTGCCCGCACATAGATTTTAGCTTCAGGAATTCTGTTGAAATTTATAAGAAAAGGGCATGGAAGAGTCATAAGATACTGGTATTTTACAGGTGAGCACAAGGTAAGAAACTGATGTAAATCTGAAGTTATGTTAACACATCCCTATGTGCCCCGAGCATGTTCGGAGGTTACATGTTTGTTAATGAACGTGTAAATTTGCAAATTTGAGTATTGTTAAAAAGCCAGAATACTGCATTCTTCTCTCTCCAGTATCATTCCATGACACCCTTCCTCCAGCCTCTTGGAGTCCTGGGAGCCCAGAAATGTGGACTTGCTCACTGCTAAAATGGACTGTTTTAATAAGGAGTTGGCATGTTTCTTGCTTATGGTAATTTTGTACATGTAATTATCTGGAGAGACAAACCTAATAAATACAGAAAACTTGAATGATATCATAGCTTATAAACTGTTAAAAACAGCAAAAGCAAGCAATGGGAAGAAAAAAAATGATTTTATGACATGGCCTGTCCTTTTATCTAGGTTGTTTCTGGTTTTTTTTCCTCCTTGTTCTGTACACATTTTGAATTTACAGACTGACATTGCTATTTTGGCAACCGGTTGCATAAACTGTCACACCTGGCTATGCCAAAATGGAAATGCGACTCTGCTTCCTTGGGTTTTATGGAGCAATTGGGCACATTTGCTCTCCACGTTTGCTGGCTGATGCTCTGCTTTCCTCTCCCTTCCCATTTCCAACATGAGGAGGGAAGCGCTGCTTGAACCGGACACGCTCCCTTTCATGCCCTCAAAGTGGAATTAAACAAACCAACAAAAAATAATCCCCAAAGGAACAAAAGGCACCACCCTGCCAAAACGGCACCCTACAACGGGAGGCCTGCTCTCTATCTGGCTTAGAAATCCAGAAATCCAAAATTTTCTGACCCATGGGAACCTGACTACATTTCTCCTTTCCAACCCCAGCTTCTGATGAGAAGATCTGCGCTGCAGATCTAAAAATGCCAGTATTGCCATTTCCAGCACAGAAAACACACAGACAGCCGCAGCACTTGGAAGCTGCAAGTTGTGAGCTCCCGTTTCAAAGGCCGCCACAGCCTGAACCGGCCGGGAACGCTCCACTGTGATGGCTGCAGACCAGCTCAAACTGGAGGGCCTAGCGCGACACTCCGCCCGCGGCCCAGCCCCTTCCCGCTCCAGCTGCTGGGCGTTTTCCTGCCGGAGCCCCAGCCCCTTCCCGCTCCAGCTGCTGGGCGTTTTCC